CGCCCGACAAGCCTCCCGGCCGCCCGACAAGCCTCCCGTCTCTCTTGCTGTCCCCTCCTTGGCTCAGGTGGAGGGCAAACGCTTCCCAAACATCCTGCTTGCTCTCTGCTCCATCCCAAGGATGAACCCAACACCGAGAGGGGAACCGGGCCACGAGCAAACCATGCCCGACGCTCACCTGGGCCCGGACTGCCTTTGTCATTTACACAGTTGGCTTTTGCTTTTTGCGGCTGAGAAACACCCACTGGGTCCACCCCTGATGAACACAATCCTCCCCACAGACAAGCCCATGAAATGGCCCATGGTAAGAGGGGGGGATGGTGTTTGGTGGGCACAGGGTCAGGCAAGGAAGCTGGTGCCCTTGCAGGAAGATGGGAGGAATGCCCTTTAGGGGCTGGATTCGAAACGTGGACCACAGCCCTGGCATATGCAGCTGGACCGAGGTTGCCACCCCGCTGGACAGTGACAAATCCTGGTCTTATATCCATGCCATCCTATTGAAATACGCAACTAGTGCCCAGCAGTCATGGCTCGGTGTTTGAGCGTCGGCCTATGAACCAGGAGGTCACGGTTCAATTCCTGGTCAGGGCACATGCCCGGGTTGCACATGCCCATCACCAGTGGGGGGCATGCAGGAGGCAGCCAATCAATGATTCTCTCTCATCACTGATGTTTCTATCTCTCCCTCTCCCTTCCTCTCTAAAATCAGTAAAAAAAAAAAGTTTTTAAAATGGAAATATGCCATTAGTGATAGTGTTACCCATTCAAAACTCCTGTAAATTGTGCCAAGCGTGTCCCTCCACCCACGGGGAAGGACCCACCCTGTGCCTGGCCCTTCGCCTTCCCCAGCAGGTTTTCACATTCCTGGACCTTGGGGTTCTTTCTTCTCCCCTAGAGCCTTGGTGACCAAGCCTTGCAAAGATCCAACTGCGAAGCCAGTTCACCCGCCACGATTCAACATGGAAACATTTCCTCTGCAGGGACTTCCCTGAGCACCCACCCCTGCAGAGAGGCTGGGCGCCTCCGGGGGAGGGGGCTGCCCGGCCCCTGTACTTCATAGCTCTCGTCACATGCTGTTGAATATCTACACACCAGGCTGTTTGCCTGATTTGTCTCCCAGGCACGGGTGGTGTTGACTTGTTCTTTGTTCACTCTGCATGGCGAGGAGACAAACACCTTTTTAAAGGCCAGTCCAGGAGCATCCTGAGGCCGGCAGGGCCAGGCGACAGCTCGCATCCCCCTCTCCACCCCCCACCCCCTGCTTCCCCATCACAGGGCCCCAGAACCTCATTCCTCAGATCCCACCTCCCATGTCCCCCCGAGAAGTCACCCCACCCAGGTCACTCACATCACAACTGCATCTCCCGGCGTTGCCACTGGATTAGCCACCTCCCCACCCGGCCACCAGCTCCAGGAGGGCCAGTCTCTGCTTTGACTCACGGCTCTGTTCCAGGGCCGGGCAGAATGTCTGAAATGGCACACCTCCCACAAGCATTTGTTGGATGAAATAATGAGTCAAGAGAGTATTACTTGCTAAAATCAGTTTATTGCACTTGCTTAAATGGCACACTTTACACTACGTGCAACCAGGACACCACACGATGAGCCTAGAACAAGATGAAGTTGCTTTTCTTACCTCTCACTGCTTTTTTTTTTTAAATGTTTTTATTTATTTTAGAGAAACATCCTCAATCACCTGCCCCCTGCACACACCCTACTGGGGATCGAGCCTGCAACCTAGGCATGTGCCCCAACTGGGAATCAAACCCGTGACTTCTTGCTGCATAGGAGGACTCTCCTTCCACTGAGCCACATGGCCGGGCTCTCACTGCTCTTTAAACTCAGAGGAGGGGGCTCTTTCTCTGCCCCCGATACACACTTGGACAGATCCACCCCCTTTGGGCTCAAATGCAGAGACTTCCAAGTTCTACAATTAATGCTAAGAAAGAAACCCCGCCCGGCCCGGGGCAGCTCAGTGGGTTGGGCATCGCCCCATGCACCAAGAGGTCACTGGTTTGAATCCCGGTCGGACAATGCCCTGGATGCTTGATCCCCAGTAGGGAGGCAGCTGATTGGTTTCTCACATCGGTGTTTCTCTCTCTTCCTGTCCCTTCCTCTCTCTCTAATATCAATCCTCCTATATAATAAAAGCCTAACATGCAAATCGACCAAAGGGTGGAACCGGGTGCTATGATGCGCACTGACCACCAGGGGGCAGACGCTCAATGCAGGAGCTGCCCACAGGCCCCAGGCCAGCCAAGGCGGGTGCCAGTGGGGGAGGGGAGGAATCGCCCCACAGATCCCCCGATCCGCCAGGCCTAGGGACCCTACCCATGCACGAATGCCGGGCGTCAGGCCTCTAGTGAAAACACATTTAAGAGCAAGGAACAAGGTGTAAACCCAACATGTCATCTCAGTCGCTAGGAGCATTCGGTCCTATGAAAGGATCAGGCAGAGGCCTGGGAGCAGCCTGGATGGAGGCCGCCTGCTCTTCCCCATTTGCTGACCAGGATCTGACCTCTCCCAGAGCAGAACGGCTCTGGCAACTATGATTTCCAGGAAGTTACTTTCTCACCATCCGGGAAGCCTGAGGTGCGAGGGGAAGGCGTCCCCAGGCTGGGTCCTCCTGCGGGCGTGAGGGTGTCTGTTCCCGGCCTCTATCTGTCCTTCCTGGGTTTGCAGATGGCCGTCCCCGTGTTCACAGGGCTCCCCCTGTATGTGTCCACCCCCAATGTCCCCTTTTGGTAAGGACACCAGTGCTATTGGGGTAGGGCCCATCCGATCGACCTGGCTTTAACTTTGTTCTCTCTGTAAAGGCCTTACCTCTGATTATGGAGGTCCTGGGGGCTAGGGCTCCAAGACGGGAACTTTGGGGGACACGATTCTGGCCGTAACACCCGCGCCGGCTCATTCTTCCCTGTAAAGCCTGAGAGCCTCCTGCGTTTCCAGGTCCTCGCCTCCCAGGTGCCTCCGACAGGGTGGCCCCTCGCCTGTTGCAGGGACGCAGGCGCGAAGGGTGCCCAATGCGACCTAAAGACACTTGGAAACACAAGGATCATCCATTACACCACCGCTTTCCAAACAAACGCCAACAAAGACGCGTCGGGTTCGAAATAAAGTTCGGCCCTTAAAGTGAAGGACGCTTTGCTTCCTGAAAATGCACTCCGCGCAGCGTCCCAGGCGGGAGCGGGCTGGGGGCCCATCCGGGGCCCCACTTACCTGCGGGGG